CTAAGTGTTCCTATGACTATTTTATGAATATTTGTCTTGGTATAGGGTCCTGTACAGTCCACAGGTAATTATATTTTAAAAGTCTAAAATAATATTTCTTTTTTTAATAGTGAGTGGGAGAGAAAGAGCATCAGTACAGAGAGGTAAGTTACATGTAAAGTAAATTAAAGATTATTGTTTTTTTTAATTTTAAGAACATTTCCTGATATTTGGAAGCCATCCGAACTCTTTCAAAAGTGCCACAAGTTATGCTATTCACTGACAGAAGAAGTTGAAGAGAGTAATATTAAGGCAAGAAGAGAAATACTACTATAATAATAGATTAGCTTACACATATCTGTTATGGCAGGGAAAGACTGTGACATTGAAACTGAAGACTAGTGCTTTTGAAGTGAAGCAACGCTCGATGACTTTCCCCAATCCTATAAGCTCCTTTGCTGATATTCACAAAGCAGCAAGGATCCTGCTAGAAACAGAAATGAAGAACAATTCTCAACTGAAACTCCGTCTAATGGGTACTAAAAATAAAAAGAATTCACTTGTGTGTGTATATATACAGTACATGTACATGTACAACATATACAGTGGCCTTGAATAATTTTTGTAACTATAAATGTATAGTTACAATATATATATAGACAATATATATATATACAATATATAGTTAAATATATACTGCTATATATTTATAGCAGTATCTCATTCTATAAATAGATCATTACATATAGCTCACTACTATAAATAGCATTGATCATTGATGTTATATTCTTCTTGATTGCATGCAGGAGTTAGATTATCTAGTCTTGAAGGAACCAGTAAATCCCCTAGTAAAAAGAGAAGCAGCAGTGCTGCTTCTACTCTATCACTGGACAGGTTCTTTTCACCCGAGGAGAAAGCAGAGTCAAGTACCATGGAAAGTAAAAGAGTCAAGATGTCTGAGGAAGTTCAAAGAAATTCTGAAGATGGTTTTGAAACAAAGATGTCTGAGGAAGTTGAAGGAAGTTTGGAAGATGGATTCGAGACCTCATCAATTGAAATGAAAGTAAGATTCATGGTTTTTATCAAGGACCTTTTCAATGATAATTATTTTTATCATAGACTTGTTTACAGTGTCCTATATGCAATAAAGATGTACCTGGTGATAATGCTGCACTGAACCTACACGTTGATGAGTGTCTTAACCAGTCCGCCATTGAAGAGATGTCTATTGATCCTGCTGATGTTAGTATCTGTAGCTCTATTGGTAATAAGAGCTTTGAAATGTTGCAACAGCCTTCTACAGGCAAGACCACAAGGTATACCATACAGCTGGTTTATTTTATGCAGGCTTAAACCCACTGACTACTATATTAGCAAATATTTTGTAAACCACGAAAAATTTAAGTTGCTCAAAAATTTTGCTTGTTACAGATTTCATGACAATGGAACAAATAAGCTGATTCAACTAAAACTTCTTCTCTATGTTTACATTTAACTAAATTGCAGATTATTCTATACTCTATGGAATACTTTGTATAGTTTTTGCTTTCATCATTATTTTTGTTTATTATTCAGTAAATCGGCTAGTCCATTATCAAGAAGTGTGAAAAAGAAGTCACAGAAAACTGGCCAACAGAATTCAAAAGGTAGCTCTTCTAAAAAGGGAAAAGCTGCCGTTTCGACACCAGTCAAATCACTCAAATCATTCTTTGTTTAGACATTAGACAGCACAATTATTGTAATAATGTAATGATAATGTGAATAATTTCAATAATAGAATTTATGTTGATGTGTCACAAAATTAATAATAGATACGATGCAATAAAAATGATTATTAAATTGATTGATAATTTTAGACACAAAAACCCACACATAATAATAATAATAAATTATTAGTTCATTAATTGCAAAAGAGATGAATAAAGTTCTCCTTTACCAATACTCTCTAATGCTTCAGAGAGTCTTTCCATTGTAGCTTCAGGGTCATTCTGTATTTCCTGGAGGAGGCAAGCTGTGGGGTTTAATGAACGCTGCGATATCACTATCAAGTCTCTATCAACTCTCATTGCTTGACAGAAATCCTTAAATGTTTTAGAGTCGTTTAGGTGATCAGCGAGAAGCTGAATGCCGGAATAGCTTATGTGACTGATGTGGTATGAAGGACCTGGGCCACTATCATTAAAACTAGTTGTGCCAGCTAGATAAAAGTAACAGAGGGCATTAAATATTTTACATGAACATGCAATAAAAGTGAAAATTATTTTACCTTCATCTTTTCCATTGGCAGCTCCTTTGTGATGATTATGAATATCTAGATGATTCAAAATAAATGAAGATAATTTTATTTCCTTGTTGAATTTCTGGTCACACCCTGCTTACCTTTAAATCTCATTTTTCTCTCGATCGAGTCTCTTTCTTCTCTCAGTTTCTTTTCCAGTGACGGCCTATAGTCTGGCAAAACTTTTAAAAAGGACTCGAAAAAGTCTGGTCCCTTCCATTCCAAAAAGTTTATGAATTTCTCAACTCTTTCAGTAAAATTCTTCAGGCTGGCCACTTCAACCTTTTCGTAGCCGCTAATACAACGACCAAACCTCTCATCTTCAATAAGATCTCTAGGCTCCGGCATTTCTTCTAACAGTACACGTCTCATTTTCCGAAGAATATTGCGTTCAACTACCTCCTCATTGGAAGCCATCTTTTATAGGCGTAGCTACCACGCCTATAATGAAAGGCGTGGTATGCATGCCCACGTGAAAACAAAATGGCTACATCCAAAGTACTCTGCAGGTAAATTCTCCTCAAATGACTGCATTTTATTTCTTGCTCCAATTTATTCTCTCCCTCTAGATACTACATGAGTAACTGCTGCAGTAGAGGAGCTTCTTGTCCTTTCTCTCACGACACAAAAGATACCCCAGACTCAGTAAAAACAATATTTTTAACTTAAATAATTCATTTTCTTTCTTTCTCAGATTTGTCGTTATTATTTAAAAGGTGCTTGTACTTACGGTAACTCTTGTCGTTATGTTCACCAGAGACCAAAGTCGTCCCAGCCCTCCTCTACAAGGAGGACTGTTTCGGAACCCCCACTTCCAAAAATCCCGGGCCCGGTGTCACTGGCAGCTGCAGCCGGGCTTGACATTCAACCAGAATCTGGAGTGAGTCCTTGCATGAGCTTAGTAGTTATTAGTATTTTGCAAGATGACCTATCACAATTTTAAATGTAAATTGTACATGCATAATATACATGTACTTTATTACATGTACATGTACATACCCATGTATGTAATATAGACATGCATGCAGTACTGTTGTTGTACATGTATGTACATGTATACATGTATATTTATACTTTTAGCTTGTAACATTGGTGAAAGATCCAACTAGGAAGCCATCAGAATGGGTCAAGGCACCTGAATTCGTACCAGTAAGAGAAAACACTATTAATGATAATAATATTATTATTATAATCTGTTTGCAATGTAGATTTGCTTATTATTATTGTTGTTTTTGTTGTTGTTTTTGGTTTTAGTTTCAGTTTCATTTTTA